CTAGGCATATCAAGGACAAGAAGGTTATTAGAAGCAGTCAGCTTGACTTTGCTAAGGGCAAGTCATGTTTGACCAACCTGATAGCCTTTTATGAAGACATAATCAGGTGGATGGATGGTGGCCATGCAGTGGACATGGTTTATCTGGATATCAGCAAGGCATGTGACACTGTCTCCCGCAGCATCCTCGTAGGTAAACTGAGGAAGTGTGGTCTGGATGACCAAGTAGTGAGGTGCGTCGCTAATTGGTTGAAGGGAAGAAGCCAGACAGTTGTAGTCAATGGAACAGAGTCCAGCTGGCAGCCTGTGTCTACTGGGGTCCCTCAGGGGTCAGTGCTGGGGTGAGTGCTTTTCAATATATTCATCAGTGACCTGGATGTGGGATTAGAGAGCATTGTCAGTAAGTTTGCTGATGACACAAAACTGGGAGGAGTGGTTGACACACCAGAAGACTGTGCTGCCATTCAAAGAGATTTAGACAGTTTAGAGTGCTGGGCGGGGAGAAATCTGATGAAGTTCAACACAGGCAAGTGTAGACTTTTGCACTTGGGAAAGAATAACCCCATGCGCCAGTATGGGTTGGTGACCGACCTTCAGTTTGGAGAAGAGAAGGCTGAGGGGTGACCTCATTAATGTTTATAAATACGTCAAGGGGAAGTGTCAGGAGGATAGAGCCAGGCTCTTCTCAGTGATGTCCAATGACAGGACAAGGGGCAATGGGTACAAGCTAGAACATAGGAGGTTCTGCAAAATCACTGGAAAAAACTTTTTCCCTGTGAGGGCGACAGAGCCCTGGCACAGGCTGCCCAGGGAGGGTGTGGAGTTTCCTTCTCCGGAGACATTCAAAACCCACCTGGATGAGTTCCTGTGTGACCTACTGTAGGTGATCCTGCTCTGGCAGGGGAGCTGGACTAGATGATCTTTTGAGGTCCCTTCCAACTCCTGACATTCTGTGATTCTGTGATTCCTTGTGTGGGAGAAGTCCAGGACAAGTGTTCATATTTAATAACAAAGACATGCAAGTTAAACTTTTTCCTTATAAAACAGATCTAGCTGCTAGTGTAAAATTCCTTCTTTCAATAAAGCTTTCAGGAAAAGGAAGATTTTACTACACATACATACTTAATTTTACCTCACATCTTTCAACAAAGAGAGTGAAGCAAGTACTGACTACTGTAAGAACATAAAAAAAGAAAAACTAGAATGTAGACTAACAAGCTGTAGAAAATTTCAGTGCAGAGAAGAAATATTTTATTTTATTTGCATAGTTACTGTACATTTTACCTCAACTGTTAAAAAGGAAAGTATCAATTACCGTTTTAGTTAACAATAGTTTAATAGTATATATAACAAAGGATCATTAATTCTAAGTGTTACAGTCTCCTTCCAGAAGATACACTTCAAATTGAAATTCATCAGATTTACACAAGCATTTCTTCACTTACCTGGAGAGTATCAAATATTATAAACATACCCAAGAAACTAAGAATGCACTGGGGATAAGATGTATAGAAATTTAGTTTGTGCGAGGTAATAACAGTAATCTTCTCCATAGTGAGTGAAGAGTATTCATATACAGTCATTTAGTGCTCAGAAAATAAATGAGTGTGCTATTTTCAAATTTAGAACATCTTATTTTCAGTATCTGGGAAACAGCATAAAAGCAGGCTTTCCCACTCCATTCTCAGTAGGCATAGGATAGGTGAAAGAAAGAAAAACTACAGAGGAATAAAAGAAAAAGAAAAAATCCAATGATGTACTAACTGACAGGGTACAATCTACCAGTCACAGAACACAGCACAGCACCTTAGTTTTCTATCTACAGCTTCTACCCTCATCATCTCCTCTTATAGTCTGCCTGTCACTATTTTTACTCAGAAAATAGTTCTAAAAGTGTATAATCCACGTAGGTTAAAACACAGGAAAGACATGGCTTCCTGTCTAGGACTATTCACAACATCTAGAGGCATCACTTTTATGTTATATAGTACCATGGCTATTACCGATACTACTAGAGCTAAAGTTTGTCTGACTTTGTCAGAAAAACAATTTAAAAACACCACAGTAAAAAACTCCAAATATGCATACCACATACTAATTTCCCCCTTCTTTCATAGAAACCTCTGTTGCAATGTAGTAACAATATTGCAGTAATAAAAATTCAAGAAAACTGGTTAAATCCAGAGTTTAAAGCTACAAATAGCTGCATGCTATCACAGAGGTAGGTGAGTCCATCTGCTTCCATTAATAGGACTTGCCTTAAAGTTACCAGGGATCACCAGAAATCAATTTGCTTCTGTAACGTCACAAAGTAACCTGCATTTCAATCCACAGTATTGTCCCTAGCTGAAAGTTTTAAAGCACCTCTGCTTCCTTTTTGATACTGAACAATAAATGACTTTCTACAATATTTCTGAAGTTAATATTGAGTAATCTGAAGATACTCATTAAGAAACGCCTCTGCAATATAAGAGTGAGGCCACACATAAAATGTAATATGTGAGCAAACAAACTATTAGTGCACAAAAAAATCAGTGCTTCAAGTCCTGGAAGTAAACCAGTGCTTAGACCACTGTCAGTGAGAACGAAGTTGGTCCTCAAGGAATACAGCGACAATGCCTCAAGGCAAAAAGCAGAGACAACCTACAGTTCCTCTGAGGAAGAAGATGGATGACGACCAACATTATTGTGTGCTTGTGTTTACTCAAATGCTTTCAACTGATGATGCTGAGCTGCACAAAACCAAACCAAAACAAAAGAAAACCAGCCCAAAACAGGAAGAATTTAACAGGTAGGAAAGGGCTGAAGAAGCTAGTAGGAAACAGGCTTCTCTAGTTTTACTGAGAACTCAACTACCGGGAATTGTTTAGAGATAAAGGATTTTGTTTGCTTTTAACTTCTTTTGTATCATGGCATTCACAGTTCAGCAATTTGTCAAAGTAAAGCTTTATGAAAACACTAAACTCATTTTAATATTATGAGCGATGACGACTGTTTAATTTTAAAACTGTTTGAGTTTTTTTGTTTTGTGTTTTTTCAAAAAAATCAAAATAGGCAGTGAATTGCTTGTAGAAGTACTTACCTCCTTTGTGGACTACGGTTTTGAGAGAACTCCGAATCACTGTCCTTTGATGTTGGAGAGCCCTTATATGTATAAAAAACATCTTCTGTTTCAGTAATATAACTAATCTCATTTGTAAGGTTATCTACAGATGAGTGTCGTGGTTTACGAATTTCATGACGTAGTCTAGGACTCCGCCTTTAAAAATAAGGAACATAAATAGAAGTTGGAAGATCATAGTAATTAATTAAACTTTATCAAAGTAAATTTTCTACCCTCTTGCAATATATGTCCAAAAATCTTCATTACTGGCCTATAAAGTCTCATTTTAAATAATCAACTTTTAAACACTTTGTACAGTATACTAAGCAATGATACACTGCTAGGTTCAGTAGGCTGAACCCCTCTAAAATGCTACCTGTATTGTTAAATTGTTCTGTATTGTTCTAATCACAGGATAATTTAGGTTGGAAAGGAGCTATGGAGGTCAACCTCCTGCTCAAAGCAGGGCCAGCTGAGGTCAGAGCAATCTGTTTATGGCTTTATCCAGGTAGATCTCAAAATCTTGAAGTATGGAGACCACACAGCTTCTCTAAGCATCCACTACTCAACCATCCTCATGGTGAAGCAGTTTTTCATTATGTCAAGATAGAGCCTCTCTTGTGTCAGCATCATCCTCCCACCATGCAACAGTGAAGAACGTGGCATCATCTTCTAGCTAGCATCCTCCTAAGTATTGCAAGGCTGTTATCAGGCATCTGGAGTGCCGTTGTCTCAGCCTCTCCCTACAGGGTAAATGCCTCAGACTTATGACTACCTTGGGGGCTGGTGGCCTTTGCTGAGCTTGCCTCAGTTTGTCAGTGTCTGCCTTGTATTAGTTGACATGAAAGCGGCTGCCACGTTCTAATGAGGTCTAAAGACTGCTGAGCAAAAGCACTATATAATCACTTCCCTTGATCTATTGCCATCACCTGTGCTTCTGTTAATACCACCAGGTTGCTGTGGACTTTGCTGCCAGGGCACAGCAGAAAAGCAGAAAGCTCATGTACAGCAGGCTGCCTATGAAGACCTGGTAAAGGTCCTCTTCCAGAGACTTGCATTGCATACAATACTGTTGCAAAGTCCTTCCTGGGGTTTTGCATTTTTCTTCGTTAAATTTCACACAGTTCCTACTGGCCCATTTCTCCAGACTATCAAGGTCACTCTGGATAGCAGCCCTGCCCCCAAGGTTATTAACTCTTCCCTCCCTGTTTGGAGTTGTCTGCAAACTTTATGAGCAACTACTCCATTGTCTCCTCCAGGTCATAAAGACGTTAAGCAGGACAGGTCCCCAGATAGGCCCCTCCAGTATTTCACCTGTTATTGGCCTCGAGGCAGAGTATGACCCATTAACAACTCCCCTCTGAGTCCAGTCATCTGACTTTTTTTTCTTTTTTTTTTTTTATTTAAACCACCTTGTTGTCCACCCTTCCAGAACATAATGTCTTAACTCAGGTATAATATTTTGGCAGATAGTATCAAAAGCCCTGCTAAAGTTGAGGTGACACCCACTCTTCTCCTGTCATCATATATATTCCCAGAATAACAATGTTTAAATGTATACATATACACTACATAATTATTCTGCTAAAGTACATACAACTGGAAAAGATAGGAGGCTGGAAGAGATGGGAAAGGCTGAAACTTTACCAATTAGGGGTAACAGGAGGTGATCGAGAAGGAAGGCTTTTGGTCTCTAGATGCTCAACAGATAAAGATCGTCTCATAGATGGGTTCCAAACCATCCCACCTATAACTTTTCTGCAGTACTGGCTGTTTACAGACCTGAAAAGAAATAAAAAACTGTAAGTGAATTTTGCGTAGAAAACTTAAATGAAATACAAAATTGACTTTCATAAGCATATTTTATTTCATGTGTTTTAAAGAGTTCTTTATGCTTATCTCTTCTTACTTATGCATTTGCATTCTCACAGAGCTGTTTGCTGTCCTTCACTTGGGACAATAGAACTGTTTGTTAATCCTGGCTATAATGTTAATCACAAGTCCGGTAAAAATAACTTTCTCTGAGAGTTATTTTTAACCCAATTGTGTTTAAGAAAATGGCGGGGAAAACAGGAAATTTGGTATGTCCTATTGGCACTGAATCAATTGTCTGACAAAACACAATTCAAATACAGGCAAAAGATTCTAGATGTTCCCTGTGAAAACTCATAAAGGGGTAATGATTCACTAATGGCTTCACTGAGCACAGGACTACTTTTAACATCTACCTGCTGCCTCAGTAAAGAAGAGCTACACCAGACCACTCTCTATTTCCAGAAGGAAGCCACACTTGAGTGATTGTGTTCCTTATAGGAATAAACCATTGGAGAAAGATGTGACATGAAAAGGGGATCTCCAAGTTCAAACTGTTTCTTGTGACAAGAACCTGACAAGATAAGGGTTGCATCAGAACCAGAACCTCAGATAGGAAAGCAAAGAAAAAAAATCTTACTGGTGGAATTATACAGCATAAAGAATTTTTTTAAGGGGATTGAAATTGAGATAACTTTTTTGCATTTTTGTTACACAGCATTCGACAAGACAAGCAACGAGATAAGCTACGCATCTTCAAGTTTACAAGTCTCAGACTTCTAATGAAAAAGAAGTAATTTATGAGTTACAGAGAAAGCACCTTTGGTTCACTAAGTCTTGAGCTGTACATAATAACCAGCTTGGATAGCAGAGTATGTGAGGACTTTAGAGCTGAAATGGCTCTTTTTTGAATATAGCATTAAAGAAAAAGGGTTTTTTTGCTATGGCTATTACTCAATGTAATCTCAAACCTTAAGTATACTTTACATTGTACCACTGCTTGTTCATATAGAAAGAAAAGAAAAAGCCAAAACCTTTTTATATTCTGAAGTATTTTACATATATTTTTCACGATTCTAAAGCAAATTAATTCCTTCATGTTCTAAATATGTACTTTTCTAGCTTACTCCAGTTTCAAAAGAAAGAGGGAAAACTTAATAGGATGTGTCTACCTATCAAATTCAGTTACTTATGTATGGTTTTAAGCTTAATAAACATCCAGGCCATGAACTCAGGAGAAGCTTTTGCCCGTGTTACAATTTTACTCCTCTAATTGTTCTGAACACTTAGTGATAAGCCTCCAGTTACTCTGGTTTTCTACAAAAACAAAGAGTTCTTTCAAAGAAGTCTTACATGGGTGGAGCTGAAAGGGATAGTTGAAAAAGAGGATGCATTATGAAAAATAGAATCCACCTATTTTTCATTAATCAGCTTTCCTTTTTTACAAGCGTCTGTTCATGCATTTTTCCAATTCAGGTGACTTTTGAGGTGCAACATAACTTACGTGATGGAAGTCCTAATCCCAAACCCCTAACCGTGGCCATAGAATCACTTTAACAATATATTCTCTAGATATTTCTCTTAAGGTACATAACATGTACAATCTCCTGAACTCCAAGTAGCTGCTCTTCAGATGTCAAATACGAGGTTATTTCTCAGTAAACAGACTGAGATACTGCCAATGCCTTTCTGGAACGGGCTGTAATACTATTACCAACGTTACCCTTTGTGGGAAAAAAAAGAAAAAAAGTACATTTTTATCTTTTCAGGAAGGGATGAGAATGCACCTAGGCTATTCAGCATTCAGTCCAGAAACACTGAATGAATTTAGCTCTCAAAATCTAGGAGACATGATTCACCTTAGAATAAGGCTTACAACTCAGAAGCCTAATTTAAATGGAATTCCACTAGTAACTCAAGCTAAGAGAACCTAAAAGGGCACAAGAGATGTGCAAATAAAAAAATGTCCTAATGGGTTGCAAGAGTTCAACTATTTGATGCAATAAATGCTAATATATCTGCCTCGCGTGAGTGCAAAAGAATCTAGGACAAGGAAGCCACAAATTCCAGAGGAAAACTTGTGATACTTTAGGTGGTAAAACACCCTACAAAGCTGACAGAATTTGAAAGAATTGTTAAAAGGTCAATTTTAAAACATCCAGGGTTATATGGTGTGGTTGGTGGTGTTTTTGTGCATGTTTGGTTTCTTTTTTTATTTGTTTGTTTGATTGGTTGGTTTTGATTGTTTTATTCAACACAAAACTTAGCTCCCTTTTATATCAGAGAATGCAGAATCCTTTTTGGTAGCGTTGCTTCCACATGAGATCAAAGCAATCCTTGAAAAGGAACATGGAAGCTCATGTTGTCTCTTATAACATTCCACCATCACAAACAAGTAGGAATGTAAAAATTTTCAATATATGACTGATGACTTCAGAAGTGACTTGTCTACACCTGTCCTTAAATCTTTTGAGAAAATAATTTGCAGAGTGACAGTGACCAAGTCGATAGTACTGAAGGTCTTTCCAAATTCTGTACTTCAGCAGCCTCTGATAGTAAAGGTTGCTGAGCCATTTCTGCCTCCCATAGACCTTAAATTTCACGCTTGTTGCTGGCATAAATAAGGCCAAAGACTGCATTAGCACAGAGAATACCATTAAGCTGGTGGAACATACCACAATGAACAGTTGTCCTTAGAGATTCCTTAAGAGCCTAAATAAGCAATTCACCCAGAGATAATGCCTCAGAACACGAAATTACTTGAAAAGAAGTCCTTCTTATTAACCCTGTTCAACAGTGAGAACAACCTTGCATACTACAGGCTATTAAGAAAGTGCAACAGTAAATTTGTCAAAAAAATCAAATGCTTTGTAAAAACTGGAATGATATTAAACTGGTACCCTTTACTGTTTTCTAAACATCACAAGTGCTCTGCAATGCCCTTGTGTACATATATATACAAGCATCAGGATTTTGAAATCGTTTACAAATTTGAGAGAAATAAAGGACATGACAATCCTACAAGCTTTGAGAGAATCACCAGCTCAAAACCTTCACTACAGGAAGAACAAGTTCATATCACACTCCATAGAGGAGATAATTCTCAAAATACAGACCTGTGAAACATTAGAAAATTAGATTACTGTTCTTACATAATTTTTTTTTTTACTTGCTTCAACTATGGTCTAGTACTAAGTGAAAATATTAAATTCCACTCCAGCAGAAAAAAGCATTTTATCAACTGTTGGACAGCCCTCATGGGTTACCCACTTCATTTACAAGCAATGCTAGTCCACTTGGTATAAATTTCTGCATTATCTAAAGAGACATGACAGTATGAAAAGCTAGCCAGTCAGCCATCAAAATCTGGGAAGCTATTTGAGGTATGATGACATCATTCAAAAGCTGAAGACTATCCAAACAGGAAAGAGAGAACCAGTCTGACAAATTAAACGTTCAGTTTAATTAAACACAAACAAAAAGAAGCAGCTGGCAAAGGGGTAGAGAAGAAATTTGGATCAGATCTTTTTATGGTTGAAGTGAAAAAAAGGGCCACTTGTGAACAAAAAGGAAATCACGATCCATAACCTTTCTGCCTTACATTGCAGTTTTATCAGACAACTGCACTTCACTCAGAGAGCAATGCTGAGAAAGCTGAGGACTAGTTCTTCTAGGACTTCCTTCTATACTGAAAGGGTTCTCAGCCATTGGAACAGGCTGCCCAGGGAGGTGGCTGAGTCATCGTCCCTGGAGCTGTTTAAGAGACGGGTGGATGTTGTGTTGGGGGAAATCACTTAGTATGTTCATAGGGCTGGGACAAAGGCTGGACTTGATGACCTTCTAGGTCTCTTCCAGCTGATAGGATTCTATGATTCTATAAACAGAAAACAATAAAATACTTCTCAAAAAATTACTAGAACAAGCACATTTCCAGAGTCTACATAGACTACAGATGACCAAAGAACCCTGCAAAACCCCACATTCAGAAAAATTAAATAAGACTTTATTTTTCATTCAATATTAATAGGAAAAAATTGTATATGTTTCATGACAGAATTTGTTTCAGTGGTGGAGAGGGTGGGTGGGGACGAGACACAGATGAGAATAACACATGACATCTGTATTGGTTAGTATTTATATTTTGTACTGAATTGCTGCTAAATGAAACAGAATAAATCAACATAATCAAAGAAATCACTGGGACCAATACTGACAAAAAAAATCTAGAAGCCTTCAAGACGAAATCTGAGTATAACCTCCCACTCTAAGCTAGTGATTTAATCTAGTCAAGATTTCAAGATGACATTTGACTAGGTCTCTTAAACCCATAAAGAAACTAAGGAGCCAGGGAATATGGTCCTCATTTGAAGGAATTACCTGTTCACTTGTGACATAAAAGAGAATAGGAAAAAATGTTTTAGCTATATAGTGAAAAAAGATCATCAGCGAAGTCTTAGAGGGATATTTGTCAGGAACTCCTCTGTTTATCACATTCAGAAGTGAATTTTCCAGAGAAAAGAGTGAACAAAATTCACACAGGAATGCAAAAACAAGAAGTCAGTTGTGAAGAAATGCAGAAGGATATTACACCACCAAATGACTAAACAATAAACTGGCAGATGAAGTTTAACCAAGTTAGGGCCCAGATGGTGCATATGGGGAGGAACAACCCCAATTTCATACAGCAAGATGACAGGCTCTGAAGTATTACATTCGGTGAGCTACAGCTTGGATATTACTATGAAACTACCAGCTCCATGACTAACAGAGCCCAGCAAGGCAGACAGAAGTGTCACAAAAGCGTTATCTTGAGTACTTGGGCGAGAGGAAGTTTTTCATCTTGATGTCAGTAGTGAGTGGATGGTACAATGCACTTCATAAATTGCCATAATGTAATAAACAGAGTGTGTGTATATAACACTAAGTGTAAACAGTTCAAAACAATCTGTTCCACAAATTATCTTACTGGATCATTAGCTACATGACATTTTTACTTCTTAATGTTTTTATACCTCAAACTGAAACAGCAAGTTGACACAACACCAATAAAACCTACCTTATTCAAATACCTTTTCAGGAAATCCTAAAAAAGGTTTTGTTGTAATGAAACTACGTTGCAGAAACTGAAACCATGGCTCTAACTTGTCAGATAATTCACATACAGACTAGGACACAGCTGTGGGCAGAAATGAACTCTCTTGCTCCAGCTTGAGCTCTCACTGACACAAATCCTCCCATGCCCATTACAAAGCAAAACATGCTTTCACACAAAACTTACTTTGCTGGATTTCTAGAACCCAAGGTCCAATAATGTGACAGTATCTTTTTTTCATGAGGTAGTGATTTCTTTGCCTGAAAAAACGTGTGATGCTCTACACAAGATTTCCACAGATTTTTGCATGCTCTGTAATTTAACATGTTGAAGGCAACAATATGCTCTCTGGATTCATTCTGAAACAGTAAGAAATATCATGTTTCAATATATACAAGCAGATCAAGTGCAGTAAACAATCCCATAAAAACCCAGTAAAATTAGCTTAGGAAGGGGAAAAAAAATACATTTAGGAAAACAAAAGCTCAACAATCTAGTACACTTTGAGCTGGAGATGGGCAAAACAGTCCGATGAAATTCTACACTGCAAAATGTACACTTTAAAAGTTTAAGCAATACTGAAAAATGATCAAGTTCTTTAGCATTTCATTGTCTTAATATCTAAGGCACAAAAAATCTGAACATGACCACTTAGGCAAAATAGAATCAAATGACTACTTACATGTTTTTGTCGTTGTTGTATAAAAAATTTTTTCCTTTTAAAGGAGATTTTTAATATGTTCACCCTAAAAGAAATAGAACATGAAATACTAAAGAACATTGAGGGATAAAACAATGAAAAATAATTTCAAATACAGCGAGTCTAAAAGATTATAGATGTCAAAAATTCAAGGAATAATATGTAGCCATCTCTTATGTTGAGTGGCAAACAAAAAGGAAAAATTTTAGCTAAGAAGGAAAGCCTTTTTAAAATTAAAATGCTTCCTCATTTACTCTTTAAATAGTCCACGTAGCAATTCTCTCCCACCAAATCTATTCTTGCAGCAAAAACTTGATGACATCTTTTACTAAGCTGCACAAATGTTGAATGTGTCAAGTTTGTATAACTCAAGAATCATACGACAACTGTGACTAAAAGAAAAATGAAGACCCTAATGATATGACAAGGCTGGTCATACAACATCTGAAAATTCCCAGAGACTTCACAGAATTGGCTTCACAATGTGAAAAATATCATGTGCTTGTACTAATAACTAAACAAAGACTGGAGCTAAAATTGTAATTTTAGAAGGATGAAAACTGTAAGAATGAGTGTTAATATATTTTTCACTTCAGTTCACTTTGCTACAAAATTTATGTGGCAATTTTATACAGAACTGAACAGCTCCTTCATACATACATACATGGTAAGAATAAAGATTGTCTAAGGTAAAGATTACAATTGGAATTGGTACTCAAGCAATTTTCATTTTAATTACATGCTTATCATTTTAGCTAAATTAAACAAACTTCTGGGCACCCACGCACCTTCCTACAGCAAAACAAAGTTTGTCTAAAATACCTAAATTTTCTCTGCAATACTTCTACTTCAATAACTGAAAACCTACACATTTTGGAAAAAGAAATCTGTGATCCGTGATCAGTTGGAATCATATGGATGCTTTGGAAAAGCTATTTAAGCTCTAATCAACTCATATCTGCCTGAAAAAACACCATGAAATGGCTTTGAAAGGTTGTTGATAAAGCCTCAGAATATTCTCGTCGACTGATAATGTTTCACAGCACCTCGGATTTCATCAGGTATGAGCTATATTGAAGGTCATCTTAGTTCTTACCACAATTTTTGCATCACTCTCAGCAAGTGGGACAATGGCAAATCATTCATTCCTGCCCATAAAAGATGCATTTCAGTCATAGGGCAATGTCCTTCATTGATACAGGAAAGTGTATTTGCCACAGAAGAAAGAAAAGTAACAGAACATACAATCCTCTCTCCTGCACAAAAGAGGTTGAAAGCCGATTGTGTGCCCGCTTCTGAAAATGCTTTTCTCCATCAATTATGGAACCAAAAACAAACAGGAATTTCTTTAATATCATTCTTCAGTGATCAGGCAAATTGTTGTGCAAGTCAACGGAAAGTTGAAATCATATTCACCTCTCCTGTTAGGTCAACTCGAGATATTTGCATTATTTGACTCGTTACTTCAAACAGTATTCACCTGTATTCCTCACTTTAAAGTTCTGGATTCTGAACTTCCTGATAAGTAATATAAACTTTCAGTTTTATTTACTGAGATGCAGCTTATTTACATACAAATCCTGTCTTAATCCTAGTAGCACTCAAGTTTTGTGTTTTTGGTTATTTCTTATCACATTTCTTGACTTAAACTTCACTAAGTAAATTTAGGGAGTCATTCTCAGCTTAAACAGTTGCTGTAATGGTCTGTTCTTACCCTAACGTAGAGCCAGCAGAACATCAGCACAGAGAAAAATAACCTTGCAGATAAAGCAGAAAATTCTCTACCCAACAACAAAAATGTAGCCAACATCCCAAAACACCAAAACTCTCCAAATTGCTCCCTGCTCCTCCCGTCCCACTTTTTTTAAAACAAACAAACAACCCCCAAACCAACATGATTCACTGTATTACCACTTAATCACTTCAACACAAATCAGGGCTTTAGGTCTTTTTATTTTGACTGTCCTCTAAAGTAAAGCATCCTTCTCAATTCCATTCATTCTTCAAGTACAACTAAACCTATTTAATTCGGTGACAAAGAACACTTGCTAATCTGTCAGTTTTATTTAACATTAACTGAAAATCATTCGCAATGTTACGCCTACAAGCTGAGTGAATATTCACACAGAGCAGAAAAAAAAAATCCAAGAGATTAAGGTATCAAAGGATTTATATTTAACAAGTGCTTGAAGATGTCATATACAAAATATGATCTGACTAGAATGCAGTTACTCTTATTCTAACTGGTTGCTCAGCTGCCCTTATCACTCACCAATAATCTGTCCAGAGACTATGCAACATTCACAAATCATTAAATTTCACAGTTTACTTGCAAAAAAAAATAAATTTGTAGTACATTAAAAATGATACATTCTTTTGGGTCCCATCTTCCTATCATTCATAAGGGTCAAAATAGACTTGTCACTTAGTGGGCAACTGAATTATTCATTTCTAACTGGCAGTTCTGTCCTAGCATTTAGTACTAACAGCTGGTATTTCTGATTTGAAGTAAAAAATTTTCTGTAGCTGCAAGTCTTATACTTTGTCAACTGAAGATTCGGCAGGAAAGGTTCTGTCAAATTTGCTATGTAAGACTGTTGAGTTGTTTTCTAAATTTTACCTAGCAATGTACAATGTATTCCTTCAGCAGTTTCTCTGAAATTTTCAAAGCTAAGAAAGAGCATACACTGAATAGCACTTAACTGCTGCTGATGTAGAGAATAATTGCATGCTTTTGCCATTAAGATAATATTTTACTTTCAAAATAAACTTTGACGGTATCACAAAACATTCAAGCACCCCCAAGAATAACTTTCCAGAGTATCTAAGATGCTGTGTTAAATCCAGTTATTTTTTAAAATCTGTCTTGACTTGCATTGCCTCTGACTGATCAGTCAGCTCCCTACGTAGGCTGCTCTGATTGAAAATCCTCCTTTTGCCAAGGCAGCACTCTCTCACTACCTCTGTTCCTGAAAGCTTTTGGTCCTCTTTGACTACTACCATATGGCACAGTTGCATTGTTGCCATCCACTAATGCTGCAGAGTATTTTACTTAAAGTTTTGGTAAGAGTGCTTTGGTGGTGTTTGCTGCCACCTTGAGTTCCACCATGTGTACGGTGAAGCTTGCTCAGCCCATAGGAAAAACGACTGACTAGAAATGGTGTTACATAAAAATCCTAATTATCATTCAATGATCTGAATGTTTGTTTATTTGGGTTTTTTTGGGGGGTGGATGGTGGTTTCATTCTCAGGCATACACTGTTCCGTAAGGAATCTCCTTACCTGTACAGCTTCGGCTCAATCAGGATACATTAAAACTCCAGCCATTATAGAAATATATTCTGCTTTGATGTCTAAGAAGAAATTGAAAGTGTATACCACAAATACAGTGCAAGCTAGTTTCCTCTGGTGACTTCCCTTGACTGCTTGTTTTCTGGGGTGGAGAGGTGATAAGGCAAGGAATGGACACCATTCCTTCATGAAGAATTATGACTAACTGATTCAAAAAGTTATCCTCTATTTAGTGAATTTTTGTTCATTTCACATTGAGATGATATTTTCAGAGACAGACTGGGAAAGCTTGGAACAATTGCATTAGCTGTCAGTTGAATATATCACTGCCTAAACCACATATTTTAGGGATGAAATTAGTTGAACTGAAAAATTTCTGTGTTTTTTCTCCCTCAATATCTTCCCATAAATGAGAATTTTTATTTATTTTTTTTTTTTGTGATTGATGCTTTAGCATCTGTGTTTTACTCCTCTGTGCTGTCCAGGAGTGAAAATAGCACAGGAAGCTGTGGATTCTTCCTGCCTTGTGTGCTATAAAGCCCCCTTTCCATTCCCTAAAAAAATCATACAGTACTGGACTTTAAAATGCCATCGCTATGGTTTTCAGGAAGGACTATTATCTGTTCATACCTTAGGTCACTAATTTGGCAGAACAAGACTTGCAGAAGACAGAAGATGTGCCTCCAGCTGGCAGCTTTTAAAGCCTGTAGCTGTTTAAAGAAGCTGAGAGACTGACATACGAATGGGCTCAGGGCACAAAGATGAAAGTCTTTTATGGTTTAGTGTGCATTAGAAATGAAAAAATACAAGATTTCACTGTGCTGTACAAGAGCATTATTGATATACACTTTAGATGGTTACAGTACATCCAAGTGAAATGAAATACAGCTCACTGTAAAGAAAAAAGAAATATCCAGAGACGGTGCAGTACATTTTCCACTAAAATTTAAATTGAAAATTATTTTATTGCTTTCCCATAGGAAATATCTGTTACGTTGCGTTCATAACGAATGGATGGAATGACTAAAGTTTTTCAGAAATACTGCTATGAAGGACCTTTTTATACAGTTAAGTGGCAAAAAAGCAAGTACACAACCCATGAGAATGCACTTTTCTTCCATAATTAAGAACAATATACCATCTTACTGAAAACATTCTCCAGAAAAATTACTACAGATTATATGAGGAAACTATGCATAGCATGATAAATCTATAATTAATCAAGTACACAAAACAAAGTAATACTTATTTTAAAAAAGACTGGGAAAAATTCTTCTTCATCCAGTCCAAAAAGCTTAAGGAAATGCTCAGCCTCCATATGACTTCTAATTGATGTGATTATTTTTAGTATGGTGTAACTAATAAATCATGTAAGTACTATAAATAATTATACATTCTAATGTTTTCAGTATTGTAGAATAATGTAAAGGTCTCTTGCCCAGAAGACTCCAAAACCTAACTTTATATAGCCTTGTTTGATGACATTTAAAAATTTGTCTAAATGATATTATCCTACTTCCAGTAAATCTGAAACTCTAAATAAGTCATTTTACATTTCTTTTATGAGAAACAAATATCTTCTTGCTGAATGACAGGATAAAGTGATCAGATTATTATCTGCTGAGCTTTACTAGTAATATTGATTTTTCTTATAAGAAAACGTATTACTGGGTGTAACAGCAGCAAATCTTTAAGACCACGGGGTCCTCCTAATCATGTAATGTACGCAAATTAACTTGATCAAGACTTTGCATACTGCAAGGAGTTCAAAAGTCTTCGACAATTAAAAGGCTAGGCAATAGGTTTCACTTTTATCTGAACACAAGGAAATATCATGATACCCCAACAAATTTATGTATTTTAGGCTTCTTTGGAATCAATATTAAAGAAAATGTAAGACTGAAAACACCACACTTTTTTACTAGCAAAGAAATTTACCAAGGATAGAAGCTCGTGCAGATGAGTTTTCTATATACAGCAATTCCACCGGATGCAATCCCAATCATGAGATCTAGGTTATGAAGATCCTACGGAAGAAAAATACTGTAAGAACACAGATGCAGTTTGTGACATTCCAAATTAGCTACTTATAAACTGATTTTCAAGTTTTCCATACTTCAGCTGTAAAAATTCAATCGCATATTTGGCTTTTTTTTCCTCATGCATCTCTTTCCTTTGATGTTATCTAATAGGTATTATAAACTTTCACTCACCAAATCAAGTTGTAATGTTCGTCTTATTACCCCAGATAGCCTGATACTGACCTAAAGACTAAGTTTTCAAGTCTAGCTTTATTAATTTAACCACAGAAAAGAAATGGAAATACTTCCCAACATCAGTCAGGTAAATATCACCGAATTTTGGGAACTGAACACAAATGTCCTGATTCTAAGCTGTTTAAAAAGACAAAGGAAATAATTCCTTCTTTTCCTTCCAAAAAACATCTTACCAACAAAGACGTGACCACAGTTCTGCATATGAAAGTATGCCAGAACAATATACATGTGTACATTAATACTAGTTACACTAAACCAAATCCACTGTAAACTAAGTCAAAAACTGCACTTTAGCCTAATGCACTCAACAGGAAAAAAATCATAAATTTACAATCCTTTATAGGTATTGAGATACTCAGGAGGAAACACATGCTTTCATATAAGCAAACACTTCAGTATTTCTCTTACTCTAGAGGGGAAAAAAAAAAAAAGGGTAGGGGGAAGGATGCTGAATGGTCGAATGGTCAATTTGAGTCTAAAACCAAACCAATGTTACAAAAAGTTGCAGATCTTGGCTTCCTATTTCTCCATGATCAACATGTACTAATATGTTATTACACAAGTTTCTAAACAGAGTTGAACACATGCATAATTCTGCATTTAAGTGTTGAAGTATGATGGGTTAAAACATCAGGTTTAACTCAGAAGTAGTTTCAGACTATTCCGTAAAGGATGGCCAAAGGTAATGGATTCTCTTGAGGCATTCAGTAGCTCAGCTGCTCCTCTAGATGGAACTCTGTGCTCAGCTAACACACAGTTTTCTTGTATGTCCAATGCCAATTTCTTCATATTAGTAAGGCACAGAAGAATAAAACAGGTAGCATGTGCTCTTAACGATACTGTGGAAAGTCTGTAACAACTCCTTAAAAACAGTTGAATACAAGAGTGTGACACAGGCATACAGACGACTGAAGCTGAGCCTGATGTACAATGTGATTTATAAACCTCCAGTGAAATACCACAACAGTTCATAGAGGATGAGCATAAGCTATTTCATACATACAGCATTAACAGTGAATACTGAGAAGATGAGAGGAATACTGGGTCCTATCTCTGAGAGCATAATGAAGGTAGGTAGGTAGCAGTGCAAATACACTCAAGGTAGCCCAGAATCAGGTGAAATTATTAACAATCCTCAGCAACATCCTGCCCACTTTGGCAAGAATTGCTGCAAGAGGAGTTGGTTGAATCTCCATCGGCAGAAGCTCCTGAACTGCCAGGTTATGCCAGCATAATACAGGAATCCAGAATAGACATCCCTTTATCTTAATACTTGGGGAGAAAACAGAAAGGAGACAAACTGCACTTAATTTAGCTGCCCCTGCCATGATACGGCCAACCTAAAGCAGGGTAGAAACCTGTGGGTTTAGCACGTGGAGCTTACTCCAGGTTCCTGCTTTTAAAAAACATCAGTCCTCTGAAGCAAAAACAGCTTTAGGAGAAGAACTGGGAAATCTACATGGTTTAGCAGAAACAACGGATTGGCTAAACACTTGATAGGCATTATGAGGCTAAATTACTCTGTCTTCTCCAGCAGCTTTGTCAGAACAAAGTTCATTCCCCACTCCCCTCTGCCTCAGGCCAAAACACTAATCTCCGATGCTATTTGTTATAATGAATCCTCTTGGGTTAAACCTAAGAAATCCAAAACCAAGATTTTGGACCAGTATAAAGAAAGAGGGTCTCCCAAAAGAAGGATGATGTGCAGTTATTTCCCTTTCAAAACATCCATGCTGTTAAATTGCACAATTAAGAAATAATGTGTATATTTTTCTTTTTACCTTTTCTTTATAGAGACAATCATAAAAACTATAAAGATAAAAATGATCATGCCAATCTCTAGATAGTTCAATACTGATTCACATTTGATTTCACTTACAATTATCATCTGGACTTTTGTAGATATGCATGTAATATTGATTCTAAAAATTTCCTATCTTCATTTCTCTGAGTGAAAACTGAAGATGAGCTAACATCAGACTAATTACTAAGCAGATGAGACAGTGGTCCAGAGTCAAAAGGAGATTAGAAATTCAAGAAATCTCAGAACAGTTTAAGGTATTACAAATTCATTCTCTTGAGTTTAGCACTATTTCATTTTTTAATACGAGTATTTTAGCAGTTCAGATTTATCCTCAGAGAAAAGCAGAAATGTTTGCAGATGAAAACCGAGTTCAGATTAATTCAATAATCGAAGTTTCATGTAACATTTAAAGGTAATCATCTTATAAAAGTTTTTACATTATCAGAAGACACAAGAACATCAGAAATTTGTTCACACATGCTAGATTACTTACCCACAACCAATGCATGTGAACCGAATTATCCACAAAACAGTTGCCTCTCCTGATACTCATATCAGATGCCATGAGCACAGACAGTTCATATTCTGATCACTTCAATTATTTCCTTGTCTTTGCACTTTCCCCCATCCTTAAAAAAGGCCTCTACTATTTGAGCACTGTATTTCACAAATATCAATGTAATTACAGTGGCTTTATACAGGAGTACTTTAGGAATTCTTTGAAATCTAATGCAACACGTAGTTATTTGTGGTAGCATAAAGCAATAAAAAATGCTGAAGAACAAATAAAAGACCTTTTCTATACCTTCTAATCATTACAGAAATTGATGATTTTTTTCCATTAAAATTCTCAGTGCCAGAATTATTTAAAAAGTCTCAGAAAAATACTAGGGAAAACACTAGTTATCTTTATTTAGGAAACCAACTATCTGCACTATACTTCTTTAAGTTTTTATACTGCAAGCTTTATGTCAACATGATTTACTATTACAGAAAAGCACAAATTAGAATGTGCACACTAAGATACAATTAAAAAAAAAGTATTCTTGGGATTCATATCAGACAACAGGTATAATCAAACAATTAAATGTCAGTAGCCAGTGAAATACTAGGACATGTTTCTTATCAATGCACACCCTGTGTCTGAAAGATTTCAAATACATTTTTAGTGGTCATCTTCCACACTGTTAAATACTACTTATATGTAGCTTGGAGTCAAGGAATACAGGAATAAAAAAAAGATTCATATATTCTTAACACTGTCAGAGAAAGTGAACTCTTAAAATACCTGCCAACTACATCATAGTACTAAAAAGAGCATTTATTTTCCTTCAAGCTAAGGCATTCATAAACATTAGTAAAATTAAGTAAAAAAGTATTGCAGCACTGAAACAAGTCTTAAAAATACATTGTTGCTCTTTCAAGGAGATCTAGCTTATTTGGTTGAAATTTCAACACCTATGTTACACAGAAATTATTGAAAAAATTCCCAACTCATTAATTAAAAATAACATAGGAAAAAGTCAATACTTAAAGGCTCCTGGGTTTACTGCTATTAGTTTCATGTACAAAAAGGCATATAATTTTTTTTCCTAGTGAAAAATCACAATGTAAACATACTCTACCACTGTGCAATTCTACTCCGTAGAAGTCAAGCGTTCGTGCTATATTTATGTAGCAGGACTCCGCTTCAGATTGCTTGAGGCCACTAAAAGAAGGAGAAAAAGAAATATATGGACCATAGTCAAAAATGAAAGACATATTTACTCAAAATGCAGAAAGACGGAAGAATCCCATAGCCCGATCTCCGACGAACAAACCCCATTAACTAGTGCCCCAAATTCTTCACTGGTGAAGGCCTTCCTAAATTCATCTCAACGATTGAGCAAATTATACACAATATTATTACCCTAGCCATTCTAGACTGGTTCTAACTAGAAAAATCATTTGTATCTATTCTGTTTAAAGGGATGACCAAACAATTCTCTTACAAAAGCTTCCTTCATAATAAGAAGCTGCATCTGTAAATATTCTATATTGCATAGTCTCTCACAAGGAAGTAATTTAGAAGAAAGATTAGAAGCAGAGACGTACTAAAAAAGCATAGGGGTGAAAGAAGATTAAATAAGTTAAAGTTATGAGACGCATCAGGGAAAAGCCATCTGAGTTTGTCTACAATCTAGGTCCTAAAATACTTTTTTCTCTTGCTGTTAGATATGCAATGTGCTCCAAGACTTACAAGGAGTCTATCTTCTGGTCTCCTAGAAGGTTTCTACGATTCTGATACTTTTTTTCCCAAGAGACAAAACCACAAAAATCTCAAATAAACAGATTATGTATCTTCATGGAAGAGCTACATGGGATCTAGTAGGAGTGTTAAAAACCAAAGAATCCAGCAGTAATCCCTACCTAGCTGGTTCTTCCACCAACCCTTCTAATTATTCAACTGAGAAGAATGCGATGTGGCCTAAACAAGATTCCTTTAGGCATAAGGAAAGCAGCCCCTTGCAAAAAATTGCAGGGCCAACACCAGTCAAGAACTAAACAGATAAAAAGCAGCTCTCATCTTGAACTGTAAAGCCACTGCCAGCAGTGTGGCTTGAGGGTGTCATAATATTGGAAAAAAAGAGCAAAGACAACAAGAGCTGTTTGTCTCAATCCTGAGATTAACAGCTTATTCAGATCTGTATCTACAGTGACTACTGTCACCCTGATTTTGAAAAACATTAGTTGACCCTATCTCTTTTATTGTGTTAGAAAGGTGGAAGAAAAAACCCACAAAATGATCATTTTATGATAGAACAAGATGCTCAATATGTTTGCAAGAGTATATTATTGTCATTTCAATCAAGAACTTTGTCCAGAAAGATGGAGAAAGTCTGTTATATACTAACAAGATATGTCTGCAAATTGCACACACCATCTA